CTTGGAAGGCTGAGGTGGAAGGATTGCCGGAGCCCAGCAGGTCAAGGCTGCGGTGGCCGGAGCGTCCACTGCATTCCAGTCTAGGCGACGGAGTGAGACTCCAACTCAAAAAAAAAAGTAAAGTGTCTATTTGAGAACAGTTTGTCCATTCTTTTTTTAATTTTATAAGTACCTAATACTTACACACATTTATGAAGTACATGTGATATTTTGAGACATGGGTACAACCTAATGAGGATATCCATCACCTCAAACATTTGTAATTTCTTAGTGTTAGAAACATTTCAAATATTTCTTTCTAGCTATTTGAAATATATAATAAATTATTGTTAACTATAGTCCTCCTGCTGTGCTATAGAACACTAGAATTTACTTTTTTTTTTCTTTTTTTTTTCTTTTTTTTTTTAGTTGAAGTCTTACTGTGTCACCCAGGCTGGAGTGCAGTGGTTTGCTTACGGCCACTGCAGCCTTGACCTTCTGGGCTTAGGTGATCCTTCACCTCAGTCTTCCAAGTAGCTGGAACTACAACCATACCTGGTTAATTTTTTGATTGATTATAGAAATGAGGTCTCGCACACAACTACACCTGGTTAATTTTTTGATTGATTATAGAGATGAGGCCTCACCAAGTTGCCCAGGCTGGTCTCGAACCAGTGGACTCAGGCAATCCTCTCACCTTGGCCACCCAAAGTACTGGGATTCTAGGTGTGCGCCATCGTGCCCCACCAGAACTTACTCTTTCTGTTTTTGTTTCTGTTTTGCTGTCTTAGGAAGGTAGGACTAGATTTATATCTTTAGGGCTTATGTCATTTAGATTCCATAGAAACTCCAGCCATAAACCATTCCTTACTTCTCTTATTAAAATAACTAAGGATAATTCCCTAGTGTTTTTAAGTGGAACATAAGTAGAAAGTGAAATGCCCACTTTTTTGTGTAGGCAAAAAGTACTTTATTTTTCTTGTATAGTCTTAGTCTTTTCTTTTCTTTTTTCTTAATCAGAGTCTCACTCTGTTGCCCAGGCTGGAGTTCAGTGGCATGCTCCCGGCTACCACAGCCTCAACCTGCTGGGCTCAAGTGATCCTTCCACCTCAGCCTTCCAAGCAGCTAGAACTACAGGCACCTGCCACCACACCCAGCTAGTTTTTTTTATTTTATAGAGACGAGGTCTCGCCATGTTGCCCAGGCTGGTCTTGAATTCCTGAGCTCAGGCAGTCCCCCCACCTCAGCCTCCCAAAGTGCTGGGATTACAGGTGTGAGCTGCCACCCCCTGCCTGCATATTCCTAATTATTTTCTTTATTATTCACCTTCATCTTGGTTTTACTTTTCCCTTGCAAAGACATGAGATTCTAGTTATAATCCTAACATTGATTCTAACATGAACTGGTCTTTAGCTTTCAGGATGCCAGCCTGCCCCTGAAGGTTATTCCCCTACACTTCAGTGGCAACAGCAACAAGTAGCACAGTTTTCAACTGTTCGACAGGTAAGTATCAAATTTAATTAAAGTAAGCTCCTCTTAAGATTTATTTGGTCCTTAGACTATAATTGGAAAAATAAGATTTATAATTCAAACATACAAAAAAATTGCTTATCAAATTATTATTATAATCATTATACAATATAGTTTGAAACAAAATTTCCAAGTTTTTTTGTTTGTTTGTTTGTTTGTTTTTGAGTTGGAGTCTCACTCTGTCGCCCAGGCTGGAGTGCAGTGGCCGCTGCCGGCCGCCGCTGCCGCCCACCGCAGCCTCAACCTGCTGGGCTCCGGCGATCCTTCCACCTCAGCCTTCCAAGTAGCCGGAATTACAGGCATGCGCTACCACGCCCAGCTGATGTTTTTTATTTATTGTAGAGATGAGGTCTCACTGCCCAGGCGGGTCGCGAACCCATGGGCTCAGGCAATCCACTCACCTCAGCCTCCCAAAGGCGCGAGATTACAGGCTGAGCCACCGAGCCCAGCTAATTTCCAAATTTTAGGTAGTTAATATTTTGTGAAGAAACTGACTTCAGTTATTCATTTTCTGAATAGCACTGTCTAACTTTTCTTTCTCTAGAGTGTGAACAAACATAGAAGTCACTGGAAATCACAACAGTTGGATAGTAATGTGGCCATGGTATGTAAGTTTCTCAGTTTAAGTTATACAATGTATACCTGTTTGAAAGAGTTCATATTTACTTAAAGTCTTTAAAATTCACTTGTCTAGACCGTATTATCTTCATTCTCTTCAATATACCACTAATAGTAACAATTTCATTATGTTAGTAGCCTGAAAAGTATAAAATCAGTTATGTAAATTGTTATTTTGATGATAATTTTTACAGTATCTTGGGAGACTTCGGATAGGTAATTATTAGACCTCTGCAAGTCTTTAAGAACACTTCTAGACATTTTCTTTTTAGGCAATAAATATATTTTTAATATTTACAAAAAGATTGAGTAAAGACTTATTGGAGTTTCCTGATGTGAACCCATACATTTACAGAATATCATTTGTGCTTCACAGTACTGGTGATATATTAGTGAAGCCTGTCATGCATTCTGGAAAGTAGCATTTCCTACATTTTATTACCTTAGATAATAATTTTAAGCTCTTTGGTAGGTATGTTGGGACTACTGAATAAAAAAGGAAGTTGGCCGGCTGGGCACAGTGGCTCACGCCTCCTATCCCAGTACTTTGAGAGGCTGAGGTGAGAGGCTTGCCTGAGCCCACAGGTTTGAGACCAGCCTGGACAACTTGGCGGGATCTCATCTCTACAATAAATCAGAAAATTAGCTGGGCATGGTGTTGTGTGCCTGTAGTTCCAGCTACTTGTAAGGCTGAGGTGAAAAGATCACCTGAGCCTAGCAGGTCGAGGCTGCAGTGGCTGGGACTGTGCCACTGCCCTCCAACCTGGGTGACAGAGTAAGACTCTGACTCAAAAAAAA